TGTGGTATGCTGATATTATCCATAGTTGGTGTATTTGATAGTTTCGAAGTTCTCTTTCATCATATGTGCGTGGAGTATTTGAGTTTATTTTATGGGAATTCATTTTTACACTGAATTGTATATTATATTTTCAATGGAAAAATAATGGTTGTCGAAAACCTCTTTTTTCGATTTGACTGAATCGAGTTTAACTTAAAGTTCCATAATTAGGAAATTTGAAATGAATATGTTGAAAATATTATTCGAGTGAAATTGAGTGAAATTATGAAAATAATGACCCCAATTGTAAAAAAAAAAATATTATATAAAAATAAATAAATAATAACAAATAAATAAAACGAAGTAAATTTAACCAAAAAAGTGTATGAAAACAATAACAAACAGAAATGCTTCATTAAAGCTGCGTACCATACAAACATACATACCTAATGCTCAATATGCCTACTCTTACTAGTTATTTTTAAAGTTCTCAAGTTCTCTATTGCCCATACATATCAAACTTTGCGTCACAGAACATTTCAAAATGTGAGCGAAGAATGTATTTGAATGTCGCTTTTGAAATATATGCCCCAACATAAATATCTTAAAGAAACTTTTGCAAATTTTTTACGCAGCAAGAAAAAAGAAATGGCAAAGTTACACTTGAACTAACAAATAAATCTCTTTTTGGGTTTTTTTTGAAATTTGTAAACAAAAAAAATTGGAAAAAATCCGCTACAGCTTAAATGTACATGAAAAGAGTCGGTAAAAGCGGAAATATTGTGAAAAATTTAAAAAAACGCTATAGCATAGAAGAATGTGTGGAGTGTGGCCATATTTTATGCCACCAAAAAATCGAAAAAATTTCTACATCCACGCAACGCAAAATAACTTGAAACAATTTGAAACGCAGGCACATTAAATCATTTTGGTTTTCATGTTTTTTTTTTGGGTAGTTCGCTGAACTTCTGACACATTTCAACGGTCTGTTGAAGTAAAATATACGAAATATACGGCTTTACGCAATACAAGATGTTAGTGAAAGTACAAAAAATGTACAATAATAACAAAAATATGTAAAAGACATAATATTCGCAGGGGTTTAATGACTTTTTTTTGCATTTAAAATTCACAAAAAGTCTATAAATTCCCTTTTTGTGAGTATAAAAATAGGTTTTGCATGTATTTAAGAATTCGTTGTATTTAATTGTGGTAGCTTTTAACTTCAGTTGAGAAAAAAATTGTATATTCGTGGAAAAGTCTGACTCTCCCCTTGTCTATGCAGGGATTGAAAAGTATTTTCTTTTTTACATTGAGAATTGTTCAATGCAATTTTTTCCTCTCCATCTCGCCTCATTCTGACGCACACAAAAACTTTCTGATGTTTAGAAATTAAATTTCCAAGTTGCCTGGTCATGCATGCATTTTTTGCCGCCTCTCAAATACATACCAACTATGCATGTGTAGTATAGTATTCGTTAAAAAATTATTCGCGTTTGCCGGCAGCATTTTAAGTTTATATTATTGTAGTGTGCAACCAACTACAGTTATTGTTGCTATTGCTCTTGCTGTTTGTGTTGAGTTGAGTTGAGTTGAGTTGAGTTGCAAAAAGTTGCATACAAGTTGAAGTTTGCTCATTTATCACACTCACGACCCTCAAGCCGTTTTGCATATGTTTGACAGTGCTCCTCATTGAAAGTCAGCTTTTGAGTGCCTCCAGGGCGTATGCGTAACTTTCGGAATATTTTTTTTTGTTCACTCACATATGTTACACAAATACATATGTACATACATATATGAATATGTGAATGCATGGCAAATACATACATTTGTATGTATGTGAAAAAGTTATTTGCTGCTTCAATTGGACAATTTGCTCCAAGCTGCATTACTACTCTATAGACACTTAATATTTGTTTGTCTGTGTGCATGACAGCATCTGATGTGTGTCAGTCAAAAGTGTTGATGTGTTTCTGTTTGCGCAAACTCGTTTGCTTTCATCAATCGTATGCAAATTTGAAGTGTTGTGGGTTGGGAAAGCTCTGTACATATTTAGAAGAATTACTATAAATTGCATTTAAGAATTTTGTTAATGAACATTTTGACTGAATTTTTGCAAACATTTTTATAAACTTACTGCAATTACACTTCCATAACGTTTTGACTACATTTTTTTTCTCGAAAAATTTCTCTCTAATTTAAAGAGATCATTTTTATTTATTTAGCTAGACGAGGTGCTCTAAACGGCCATCTATTTCATATCGATGATAAATTCAATAATCTAACTTGGCAGCAAGTCTCCTTGTATTTTTTCGCGTACTGGCCTTAAGGAAAACTTATTTTACGTCGATTTTTTTTATTTCTTTTGGGTTGCTTTACATTCCTCTCACTCAAGGTATTAGCAGTGGCATCTGTCGACATGTTGTAACCTTTATGCCAACCGGATGATGACACTTGCATAAGTCTCTAGTTCTCGACGGTTTCGTCACCAATGGATGTTAGCATAATGGGATGTATTTGAAAAGGTCCCGCCTATGCTCTATTAAAACCGAATCCATTGAGAAAAGGCATCTGCACAATTGATATAGATTTCACACGTAGCTTGTAGACAGGTTCGTAAGAGCGCGAGGTAACAGACCCTAGTAATACTTGGAAGGGAAAGGCTAAATTTTAGCGGACGAGCGTTTTATGTGAATAAAAAACAGACATTTAGCAAAAATTATCATAAAAAAAAGAGATTTTTAGGAAAGTTCAAAAAGGTATTCACGTCAGTCAACAAAAACAGTCAACGCATATGAACAAGTAATAAAGAAAATCCCAAAGAAACCGCAATATTCTGTTCCGCTCACCATAGGTGCGGCAGCAAGCGGGACACGAGAAAAATAAAACAAGGCATCGGATGAAAGATCTCTCTCTCTCTCTCTCTCTCTCCAAAATGTAGCTGTCAGCACAGGAAAACTCAGAACCTGATCGATCATATTGTGATCGACGGACGATGTGCCATCTATATTCTTGACGTGCGTACACTCCGAGGACCCTAAATCGATTCGGACAGCTAACCTGTAGTAACTAAGATATGCGTCCGCCCTTGTGCGGAAAATAAGGTCCGTCAGAATGTTTGACTTTCATGCCTGCTCTCTAACAGCACCTAGGTTACCTATAACTCAACGTTCGAAGAGCTACTACACTTGTGGAATACCGAGACGGGAGCATACTTTTGTGGGACACACTGAGTAGATCTATCGACTAAGCACAGAGGGTACTGTGGAACAGTGAAAATGGAACATTAGCACATGATACACCTGACTCTCCAATCGATGACAATGGAAAAGATGTTTCATTACTTACCTATAAAGAACTGTAAGTAGTAATTGCCCGCGGCGAAGAACTGCCAAGGTGTATGCATCAGCTTCTTTGCCTTTGCCTTTGGCTAGGTGAAAGTTTGCCCGAGGAGTGGATGCTAGAAGTGCCTCCCCATTTAGCGCATAAGGTTTTATCGAGCATGCTGCTTGAAGGTCTAAAACCAACCGTTAACAAACTGATTATACCTTATCAGTGTGGCTTTAGACTTGGTAAATCCATAATTTTCCAGGTATTCGCCATGCGACGAATCTTGGCAAAGATCCGTGAAAAGAGGATCAGCACACGCCACCACTTCGTCCATTTTAAGGCAGCTTTTGACAGTGGGAAAAGCAGCTGCCTCTACGTCCCTACGTCTGAATTTGGTATTATCACAAAACTTATACGGCTGTGTAAACCGACACTGGATAAATGCTCTTTGAATTGGAAAGGACCTATCTGAGACGTTCATTACTAGACGAGGTCTCAGACAAGGCGGTTCCTTATCATTGGACTTCTTTAATTTCTTGCTGTGAGCTCTGTTTTTTTCAAACTGGATAAGCATGCGAAGCGTCGAGGTTTCATAGCGAATGAGGACATGGTGAATTACATCCTGTCATAATACAAACAGTCAATAGTCAAGGTAGTAGGTAATCTCATCTATCTAGGAATCAGCATTAACACCAACAACAAAGTCAGACTGAAAATTCAACGCAGAATCACTGGTGACTAAAGGTGCTATGTTGTTCACGACGAAATGACTCCTGCTATCACATAAACAGTCATCACATTCGCGACTCGGCCCCCACGGCACTGTTGAGTCATAACCTCAAGATCGTAGATAAGTTCTTCAATCTAGGAATCAGCGTCAACACCAACAACAATGTCAGCCTGGAAACTCTACACAGAATCACCCTTGCCAACAGGTGCTGTTTTGTACTAAGTAGGCAATTAAAAAGTAAGCTCCTTTCGCGACGAATCAAACCCTACAAGTCGTTCCCGTCTTGCTATACGAGCGGCGGCGCAAACGATGTCGACATCTGATGAGTCGGCCTAGGGGGTCTTCGAGAAAGTAGTTTTCCATACGATTTATGCGCACTTGCAACGGTGAATATCGCAGCCGATGGAAAGATGAGCTGTGCGAGTTATACGGCGGCATTGGCATAGTTCAACGAATTAAGAAACAGTGGCTGCGCTGGCTAGGTCATGTGGTCCGGGTGGCTATGAATACTTCAGCTATGAAAGTTTTTGAGGCAGTACCCGCCGATGGAAGCAGAGGTACTGATTAGAAAGACCAGGTAGAGAGGGTCCTGGCTCTACTTGGTATCTCCAATTGGCGCCAAGCAGCAAGAAAAAGGAATGAGTGACGCGACATTATAAAATCGGCTAAAATCGCGTAGGTGGTGTCTACGCCAGTAAAGTAAGTAAGTGAATATCAGAGTAGTGTATATTTTTCTTAAGTGTTTTTCTTTGTACGAGTATATTTAACTATATTCTGTTCGCCAGATAAGATTTGAAACAAGAAAATATACTGAAAAGTGTATGTGAAGAGCATCCATTCTAACTTCATCTTCGAAATATTGGAGGCAACTTAGATAACGAAACTTTCAAAATCAGTTTAAGTACTTAAGTGTTAGTGTTACATATATATTATATGTACGAGTATGTCTGTATGAACTCACCTGTATTCATGCGACATGAAGAATGTGCCACGAATCAGGCAGCCATTTGGATTCTTACGCTTGCCATTGAAGATTTTCAAATAATGATCGTAGTTATTCAAGTTGACAGCGCCATCGAAAGTCAGCAAAATAATCTGTGGAATCTGTAAAGAACGAAAATAAAAACGAAAACAAAAGGAAATCAAATTTGAATAACAGTTAATTGCAGTAAAAATGACGGTAATTAAAAAACTTATTTCACACTTCGCAAAACAAAGAAACTTCAATCAAAACCAATCAATTGGAAACGCTCACAGTGCGCTCACAGACACGCCGAATGAACAGAAACTAAAATGTAATACTCAAAGCGCTCAGACTTAATTAGATGTTCGACCGGCACTTTTTTTTTTGCTGATTAAAAAACGTTTAGCTGCGTTAAAGGCATGAAAGTGAAAAACCGAAAAGCGAGAGAAAAAGAATTAAAGAGTTTAAAAAAAATAAAAAAAATAAAATAATGACAGAAGCATTTGAGTGAAGGAAATAGTAAAAGAGTATAAAAGCGCAGAAAAAAGTTTAATTGCACAGACACATTTTGCGGCGAAGAAAGAACAGAGGATGCACTACAGAAAAATACACAAAAAGATATTAAAAAATGAGCGAAATAAATTTATGAAAAGAAGTCACATCAATTGCAAGTAATTTTAAAATAATCAGCACAATATAATTTATTGCGCGCTTGTCTGTGCACTGTTGGTAATGTATGCATGTATATACTTATCTATGTGTCAGCGTGTGTGTGTATGTGTGTGCATGTCTTACACAGCATTGAGACCAAGTCTGCGTGTTGCGTCGTGCTTTTGTGCCACTTGCGGTTAGTCAGTTGTCCTTTTGGGAGTCTACAGCCTGACCACATACATACACACAAACATAACAACTACGCGTTGGCAAAGTTTAAAGCAGTAGTGTGGCAATGGAAAACGATTTGTTAAAGCTTTCTATAGCGTGCAACGTGCGTCGCGGCGTCGCGGCGTCGGCAGGACGACTTGTAAGCGAAAGTGCGGAAATGTAAGAGAAAATGAATTGCGCAGATCGGAAATGGTAAAATATCAATTTCGTTTAATACATAAAAGATATTTATGTGCGCAATTCCTTTTTTTCAATAAAACGAGCATACAAAATTATATGAAATAAAGCAGAGTAAGTTCAATAAAAGAGTGAGTAAATTGGAAATTGTTTTCTGTGGTTGTTGTGATGTTGCTGTGCGTTGCATGGAAGTTCGAGTTGTTAAGAAAATTGTTCGTTTGTGAAAGTGACAAGTTTTAAATATAATTCTGCAGTTTTTAAATTTTATAAAATTAATTTATCCCGAAATGCAAGATGAATTTAATAATTAACTATTTTGGACTTTTTCTATTTTAATGTCATATAGGTAAACTCGGACCTTCAATCCGGTTAGAATGTTAAAGAAATGTAGCTGTTTTGCAGTAGAGTTGCTATTTTACGAAAGTAATAAAATATTATTCTGAGTAATTTAATAAAAAAATTCTGACAGCGACATACTAGTTAAATACTAGTTAATTTGTACGTGTTGAATTCTCACTACGAGAGAAGAGCAAAAAAAGTTGCGAACCTTGAATCTCTTGTCTACCTACTCAACACCTTAAAACTTGTATAATACGACAGTACACAGAGTCGGCAAATTGCAGACAATAACAAAGCGTAAAGGTGATGAATTTAATGATTTAGCTACAAATAGAAAACGGCTGACACTTTGTTTTTGATTGAAATTCTTGTAAGAACTATATATTTTTTATTGCTGGTTAGGTTGGTTTAGGTTAGGTTGAACTGACTGACCAATGCAGTCTAACATAGACGATAATACGATCACAACGTAACCAGACACATGTGACTATGCTGCACCGCTACACTCCTACTGTGTCTCTAGGGAACATTTCTGTACTTTTCGCAAATTGAGGTAGTCGTGTTGACCCTTTGACTATTAAAAATTGAAGATCCTGTAAGATTTCTGTGCCAAGTTACTATTGTCTTTGTCTGCCGGATGACAGATTACGTATTTCACTGTGTCCGCACAGCTGTCCCCAATCAGAATTGTATTAAAAGCATGCCCCGTCAAAAAGCAGTCTTATCAGTAGCCTGGAATCCGGCCGTTTTATAGATAGTATAAAGTAAGTATGTTTAGCATCATACGTTTCACACAAAGTTTTCACGATTTTGCAGCGCTTATCTAGTTCCCAGAGGTTGTTCGCCGGACGAAGTGGTTTTACTTCTTGCTTTTGCTACACTTCCTTGAGTGGCACTGGAAGGCTCATTACTTTATTCGGTTCTAAATAGACCCCTTCTTACCCAGTTAGGCTGCTACCTCGTTCGCTGCAATGTCCCTTTGGCTTTGCATTCAGTAAATGTATGTCCTTCTGTTTTGCAGACAGCATTTGAATCGCCTCTTTACATAGGGTGACGTTTTTCACTCGCTGTTCTACATTGAGTCCTCACAACATCTTGATATCCAACATGGCTCCCAGGTACATAGTGCTAGGTTCCAGTTGTAAAGTGGTCTATCCCAGCCAAATGAAAAAACTATTCGCCATCATCCATATCACCCATATTGAGGCCCAGCATTTATTATTGGTTGATATTCGACCGAATAGAACACGTACAGCGCGCAGTGAATAAAATATAGCAGCCGTAGTTGAGAGTGTACACAAAGAACGTGTAGGATCAGACTGACGTATAGAACGCATTTTATGTCGGGATCTTAACTTGAAAGCATACAAAATACAGCTTGTTGAAGAAATGAAGCCGCTCGAACTTCCCAAACGACATCGTTTCGCTCTCTGGGCTCTCGAAAAATTTTGTTCAGCGATGATATCTAAACAAAAAAAATTACGCATTTGGGACGAAGATCAACTGACACATAACAGTTTGGTGTGATTTTTGGGCATTTTCTTCAAAAACAATGCCGGTTAGAACGTAACCAGCAATGGCGACCATTATGGCGCCATGATAATGGATTACTTGATGCCTGAAATTGAAGCTCGTGATCTAGGCGACATTTGGTTTAAACAAAACGACGCCACTTGCCACACATCTCATCATTCAATGGATTTAGTGAGAGAACACTTCGGTGAGCAGATAATTTCACATCCTGGGTCACTCGATTGGCCACCAAGATTGTTAGTCTGAAGTCTATGTGGGGAATGCCGCTTTGTTTCAGGCCTGGGAGCAGAACATCATGCGTGTCGTACGCCAGCTACTGGTCGAAATGCTCGAACGAGTCATCGAAAATTGAACTCAACGGATATACCATCATAGACATAGCCGCGACCAGCATTTGAATAAGATAATCTTCAAAAAATATATGCCAAAGAATGTTTTTCGAATAATTTTTATCCTCCATTAAATTTGATTTATTTGTATTGTTTTTCTTTAGAAATCTATGGTCTCTCGATTACCTTTTACAAAGATCTTTGGCTAGTCTAATATGTGGAAAACTTTTTTGCCTTTTTCACATATTTTAGCGTAGCAGTTAATTTATTTTATTAAAATTAACAAAGTAAGAGCCCAATAAAAATTTTATTAAAACCGTCTGAGAATTTCATGCGGTCGTAGTCGTGGGCAACCTCTAGTGACTTATAAAAAATTATTTCCTTCAGATATAGCTGAATCACTGAATTATATTCACATACGAGTTTGTATAGGTATAAATTCTAATTGAAATTATATTAAATGTAGTCACTGAAAGCTTTCTGCTGCTTATGCAAACTTAAGTGAGAGAACCAGCAGAGCTCAAATGACGCCAATAAATACACATGCCGTGCATACAAATTACATACATAAATTATTATTATTATTATTATTACTTTTTTTTGCGAATTACTAAGAGGTAAGCAAACAGCATTAAACACTTGTCACCAACATATTTTTGTACGCAGCAAACTCTCATAAATCGCTTATCGATATTATTCAACGGCACTTAAAATCCACAATCACTGTGGTGGACGTAAGCAGCTGCGACAATGCTATTTTTTGCCAGCACTCCACGCCAATGGTTGTTTTTCATGAGCGTAATCAACGGGTATAACGGTGCATAAATGTAATCAAACCAGCCAGCTGACCATAATGCACGGTAGCTCACACACAAATGATGGCAAAATATGACAGAGAGAAATACACAGAGAGTGAGAAAGAGAGTGAGAGAAAAAAAACCAAATCGTAATAATAATGCTGATAAGAGATCGTTGAAAAATCGCTAGCAAACAAATAAAATAAAATCAAATAAAATCCATTGCATTGGTGATTTTATGCGCGCTTCCTGTGGCTTTCAGTTGGCAACTCCATGCCATCCGCTTTCGTTTCGCTTTCATTTCACACACATCCATTATTTTTATGATTTGTTTGTCGGTTTGATTTTTTACGATTTTCATTTCTTTCTTTTTCATTCATTTATTTTTACTCTTTATTTGTTTTTTTTTTCGCGCTCGTTTTGATTTATTTTCGTGGCGGAAATTTGCGCGTTGAAATATGCCATTCAATATTATGCAAAATTCAGGACAAATAAAGCTGCACCATCAGCAGCAGCAGCCAGCAGTAGCAGCCAGTAGTAGCAGCAGCAGCAACATATAATCAGTTCGATTGGTGAGCAAGTGTTTGGTTGTGCACGGCTGGTTGCTTGATTGTCCGCCGTTAAGTATGCAATGAAATGCGTTGGCACTGCTTTGGTGGCATTATAAAGCGAGAGTTTATGTCGAATAAAGTACGAAAAGAGATTTGTGTTGCACTTAGTGTCGTGCAACTGTCAAACCAAACGCAAATGGAAGCGTGAGTGCAATCAAAGAGAAGAGAGAGAAAAAAAATGAGATCGAGATTGAATAGAAATGCAAGGAATAAAAAATTTAAGTGTAGACAATCTTCGCGCTAAAAACTGATGTGAATAGTACGGCATTTCTTAGACAACGTTGTCATTAGTCAGCACTTGCTTGTAGGTCCTCCACCAAATTCAAATTGCGGCATAGTCAATGGTCGAGAATAAAACTCTGAGTTGATGCATTAGCGCGCGCTCTATTCTGCCGACTCTTCCGTACTTATTCGTGGATAGTTCCTTAGCTTTGCTTGGAGTTTGAACTTGTCATCGTTCCTCTAATGTATT